AGTGTCCGAGCGCATGTCCTGGAGTGTCCGAGCGCATGTCCTGGAGTGTCCGAGCGCATGTCCTGGAGTGTCCGAGCGTTTAGATTGGGATAATTTTGTCAATACAGCTGCTGATCTAAAGTAACCAAGAGAGCCTACCCTCTCGGACGTAGGTTCGAACCCTCATCACGGCCCTTGTGGATTTGTTTACCAAGAGAGGTCCCGTGCGCCGCCTCCGGCAGGAAATATGCTGCCATTAACAACTCTTCAGAGGTGAACATTTAGACCAGCCCGCCGCTGACGGCCACACATAGAGACGATAGTGAGGCTACGAGGCTCTGGTACCCTCACCACTCTTACTTGTACTGTCATCATCACAGTTACCACCACCCACTAATACTATCCTCAACCCAAACACCACCTACGCTTGCTTGCTTGCTTGCTTGCTTGCTTGCTTCCTTCCTTCCTTCCTTCCTTCCTTCCTTCCTTCCTTCCTTCCTTCCTTCCTTCCTTCCTCCCTCCCTCCCTTCCTTCATATCTAAATTCTCGTACGCGTGGACTTTTTCTATTTCTATACATCTATTCTTTCATCTTTAAGTACTTCCCCCTTTTTTGTATCACTCTCCTTCCCCTGTTGAATACAGACTATAGCCGCCATGACTGAACAGAGATGCACAGGTTTCGCAAGAGGAAACGTAAATGCTTGACGAATGCCAAGCATATGACGTTTTGACGTAAATGCCTCGGCCCCTATGAAGTGCTACCCGAGACATACGAGGAGGAGAGGCATTATAGCGGCAGCCAGTGGGCGATATCACTCCTGATGTCTCTAGCATTACGGCTTTAATAACATCATTAAAACATTCAATGGAGCTCAATGACTCGACTTTCCTTATCAATCGTCTAAATAATAGTTAATATAAATTGGGCATTTGAATGTGAATTTAAAAAAAATAATTTGTCTGCTGTTACCCAAAGTTTAAAATAATTTGAATTAATGATATTAACAAAGTTTAACTTAATATATACATCAGACATATACAATATTAGAGTGAAGATTATACCGTCAATTAGTTGGAATGAGTTGAATGAACTCACCCGGTAATGCTTCTTCTATGTATATTATTAAAATAATACGCAAATTTCCTTAATTTTGCAAAATTAACCAACGATTATTGAATGTATAAAAGACGTACACGACTGCCGTGTAGTGTGTGTGTGTGTGTGTGCGTGTGTGTGTGTGTGTGTGTGTGTGTGTGTGTGTGTGTGTGTGTGTGTGTGTGTGTATCATCAGTGGCTGATAATTACAGATAATTATGGATAATTAGATAATTAAAGCAGAGGAATAATAGTCTCGCGGAACGAAGAGAGATTAAGAGTCTTGACTGCTGTTAATTACACATGCAACGAGCTTTGTCGTTTCCCTTGTTAAATTGGCAGGTGTGGCCCCGTGTTGTAGTTACTAGTGGCCAAGTTGGCCACTGGTCTTGCGTGCCGGTGTGGCCATGATTATACTCTAAGTTAAGGGAACGATTTGGGTGGCCACGCGTTCTGTTTTAGCCATGGTTATGTCCGTGTTTACGTTGTGGGTCATATTGATTCTCATTGTCACTATGTTGATTGCCAGTTCTGGCCCTTGTACACGGTCGCTTCCGCTGATCTGGAAGTGCTGCATCACTAATTCCGGCCGTGTTAGTAGTAGCCGCCGTTACTGTTAAGTGTCCATAGCTTTGCTAATTATTTACACGGGTGTTACTTTCATCGTTGGTACTGGGTTCGATCCCGGGCGCCGGCGAGAAACAATGGGCAGAGTTTCTTTCACCCTATGCCGCTGTTACCTAGCAGTAAAATAGGTATCTGGGTGTTAGTCAGCTGTCACGGGCTGCCTCTTGGGGGTGGAGGCCTAGTCGAGGACCGGGCCGCGGGGACACTAAAGCCCCGAAATCATCTCAAGATAAGAAGATCTCAAGATAGGTGCACTTGCAAGATATATCATGTTAATACGGTTGTCCAACATAATCTACTTACATTTTTCTCTAATTTACAATCTTCTTTAATTTACATTTTAATCATTTTTATATTATATAGAGCTAGAGTTTTCTCTAAGTTTTCAGTGTAATTATATATTAACCAAATTATAATTTTACACAGCTAGTACACTTATTAAATGCAGTCATTATAATTACTATCATAAAATGCTAATCACACTTTAAATAATAGTTTTATGATAAACAAGGAAGTTGTATGCGTATTTGTTATTAATTATTTGATTGAGGAAACCACGTCATAAAATGCTTAGACGATCATTAAATATATTTCGACACAACATTTTCCTGGATAAATAATACTTATTTCCTTTGGTGTGAGCGAGCCTCACCTGCCTGCTCCCTACACGCCCTCCTCCCTGTGTGGGGAAGCTCTTGCTTCATTACTTATCTAATCATTAAAGGTCTTATGCCTTCATAATACTAATTTTACTCATCAGCCTTAAAATATGTAATATTTACAGACACCTACAAGCGTACGAGCCCTGGAGTATGTACACCAGGGCATGTGCGGTCACGGCCGTGTACTCACCTCGTTGTGCTTGCGAGGGTTGAGCTCTGGCTCTTTGGTCCCGCCTCTCAACTGTCAATCAACTGGTGTACAGGTTCCTGAGCCTACTGGGCTCTATCATATCTACATTTGAAACTGTGTATGGAGTCAGCCTCCACCACATCACTTCCTAGTGCATTCCATTAGTTAACTACTCTCATACTGAAAAAGTTCTTTCTAATATCTCTGTGGTTCATTTGGGCACTCAATTTCCACCTGTGTTCCCTAGTGCGTGTGCCCCGTGTGTTAAATAAACTGTCTTTATCTACCCTCTCAATTCCTGAGAATCATGTATGTGGTGATCATGGACCCCTAACTCTTCTGTCTTCCAGCGAAGTGAGGTTTAATTTATGTCGTCTTAACTCGTAGCTCATACCCTTCAATTCGAGTACTAGTCTGGTGGCAAACCTCTGAACCTTCTCCAATTTAGCCTTACGCTTGACGAGATATGGACTCCATGCTGAAGCTGCATACACTAGGATTGGTCTGACATACGTGGTATATAAGGCTCTGAGTGATTCCTTACACAAATTTCTAAGGGCCGTTCTTATGTTGGCCAACCTGGCATGTGCCGCTGATGTTATCCTCTTGATATGGGCTACGGGGGACAGATCTGGCGTGATATCAACGTTCAGGTCTCTCTCTTTCTCTCATTCTAGAAGGATTTCATCTCCCAAATGGTATCTTGTATCTGGCCTCCTGCTCCCTACACCTATCTTAATTACATTACATTTGCTTGGGTTAAACTCTAACAAGCATTTGTTGAACCATTCCTTCAATTTGTCCAGATCTTCTTGAAGCCTCATGCTGTCCTCCTCAGTCTTAATCCTTCCTATTCAGCCTATGGGGTACATCTACATTTTAAACTGTGTATGGAGTCTGCCCCCACCACACCATTTCCTAATGCATTTCATTTATCAATTACTCTGACACTGAAAACATATTTGTAATATCTGTGACTCATTTGGGTACCCAGATTCCACCTGTGTCCCCTTGTGCGAGTATCTCATGTGTTAAATAATGTATCTACTCTATCGATTTTCCTTAGAAATTTGTGATAATCTTCTCTATTGTCTCCCAGCGTCGTAAGGTTCAATTCACGAAGCCTTCCCTCGTAACTCGTGCGTCAAAGTTCTGGAACTAGTCTAGTGGCATACCTTTGACTCCTGTGAGGCAAGATTTGACATAGCTGAACCCATGCTAGCAATGTTATCTACAGATGTTCTAGTAAGATTTTTTCACAGTCTTTTCAATCACCTTGCATGGTATGTAAATTAGGGACACTGACCTGAAGTTCAGTGCCTCATGTCTGTCACCCGTCTTGTGTGTGTGTGTGTGTGTGTGTGTGTGTGTGTGTGTGTGTGTGTGTGTGTGTGTGAAGAGGGGAGGGGAGGGGGGACGGGGAAGGAGGAAAGCTGGGATTACAGCTTAATTTTTAATTCGACTATTTGTTACTGCTGTTGCAGTGTGGTGAAACGTTCTCAAATATATTTAAAAACGGGAACATGCGTGTCGTCACGGTAATTACACCTTACAAGGTAGAAAAATAAACTCCAGAAAATTGGCACAATTTTAGTAGTTGGGAGGGTGTAGGAAGGCTGTAAAGAGGTAATATTTACTCTACATTTTGGATGCAATGATAATGATGCAAGGAAGTGCTCATTCACACTTGCCTCGAGATGGCAACTGTAAAATACTATAAAATACAATTTTAATTACGTGGGTCATACTTAAGACTGGTCGGTAGAGCAATCCGTCCTCATACCACGTCCATTCCATCCCGTGGTCGACCCCAAAGACGCATTCATCATTTGTAACATGTTCAGCCAAAGCAGGAATTTTCTCAAATATATATTAATACTATTATATATTAGCATATTGTGTATATTTAGGCACTGGTTAGGTTAGGTGTTTGGGTTCTGTTGGCGATTATTTGTATTTGTAGTACGTGGGTGAAGCATTTACAGTGTTGTGGTTCGAATAAAAGTCGTCAGCGAAGTACTTGTTCCGGAAGTGTTCGGACGTCATCAGTTGTGAGTCGTGTGTAAACCGGTTTTCATTCATAAACAGGGGGTTTGGCGGGTGGATGGAATGGACTTTGGTCTTTTATAATGAGGACGGGCTGGGTAGATGAGGACTCCTCTTTCTGCAGGGGTCGGTCATCATATCCTCAGCCCCGTTTTTGTGACTCATCGTCTGCACATTAATTCAACGCCGAATTTACGCTTTTCTTTGATATTAAAAACACAGGATAAACAGCATAGTGGAGCGAAGCGTGTTGGTGAACAGCAGCTTGAGAATCACTGCCGCCGACGTTATCGCCAGTTTCGATTTCTCTTTTTATTGATGAACTCGATTATAATACGCTATTGAAAGTTGTTGCTTTTAAATATAATATACATTAATGGCAGATTGGTGGTATAATATTAGCAGGCCATTCTCTTAAAATGAAAGTGGCGTGGCTGGCCCCGGGCCCGCGCCGCTTCCGGCTGGCCCCGGGCCCGCGCCGCTTCCGGCTGGCCCCGGGCCCGCGCCGCTTCCGGCTGGCCCCGGGCCCGCGCCGCTTCCGGCTGGCCCCGGGCCCGCGCCGCTTCCGGCTGGCCCCGGGCCCGCGCCGCTTCCGGCTGGCCCCGGGCCCGCGCCGCTTCCGGCTGGCCCCGGGCCCGCGCCGCTTCCGGCTGGCCCCGGGCCCGCGCCGCTTCCGGCTGGCCCCGGGCCCGCGCCGCTTCCGGCTGGCCCCGGGCCCGCGCCGCTTCCGGCTGGCCCCGGGCCCGCGCCGCTTCCGGCTGGCCCCGGGCCCGCGCCGCTTCCGGCTGGCCCCGGGCCCGCGCCGCTTCCGGCTGGCCCCGGGCCCGCGCCGCTTCCGGCTGGCCCCGGGCCCGCGCCGCTTCCGGCTGGCCCCGGGCCCGCGCCGCTTCCGGCTGGCCCCGGGCCCGCGCCGCTTCCGGCTGGCCCCGGGCCCGCGCCGCTTCCGGCTGGCCCCGGGCCCGCGCCGCTTCCGGCTGGCCCCGGGCCCGCGCCGCTTCCGGCTGGCCCCGGGCCCGCGCCGCTTCCGGCTGGCCCCGGGCCCGCGCCGCTTCCGGCTGGCCCCGGGCCCGCGCCGCTTCCGGCTGGCCCCGGGCCCGCGCCGCTTCCGGCTGGCCCCGGGCCCGCGCCGCTTCCGGCTGCCCCCGGGCCCGCGCCGCTTCCGGCTGCCCCCGGGCCCGCGCCGCTTCCGGCTGGCCCCGGGCCCGCGCCGCTTCCGGCTGGCCCCGGGCCCGCGCCACTTCCGGCTGGCCCCGGGCCCGCGCCACTTCCGGCTGGCCCCGGGCCCGCGCCACTTCCGGCTGGCCCCGGGCCCGCGCCACTTCCGGCTGGCCCCGGGCCCGCGCCACTTCCGGCTGGCTGCACGAGGCACGGGCGAGGCTGGCTGCACGAGGCACGGGCGAGGCTGGCTGCACGAGGCACGGGCGAGGCTGGCTGCGCGAGGCACGGACGAGGCTGCACGTTGGCATAAAATACAACATTCCTTCAGATTGCTGGAGGAAAACATGCTTGTGGCACAACCACTCCCGTGGTGTTGGGGCCCGAGGGTCCAGACTCGACGAAGTAACACGTTGGTGTGAACACTCACGGATCGAACAAATCCACAAGGGCCGTGACGAGGATTCGAACCTACGTCTGTGAGCATCCCAGACGCTGCCTTAATCGACTGAGCTCCGACACGGTAACACTCCATGTCCTACGACACTCACGTATCCCCTCGCTGCCACTCTTGTCTTTATCCCGCTGGTAAAATGTAACTCGGTAAAACAAACACAACGAAACAAAAAAAATAGAACCAACGAATGAAAGTCAACTTTAGCAATTCTTAGACTTAACTCTGCCTTTTCCTGGGCTTCGTATAGGGCTGGAAACAATAACGGGAGCAACTTGGAGACGCTCGTACGCCGACCTCGCCTTTCTTACGCGACTTTACATTGTTTGGGGGAAATTTTAAAGTGAGCAAATCCATTGTCTTAGTGCTTAGTCCACAATCTGTGAATAAACACAGCCTCGGAAGCCTTAATGGCGCATATGAATGGACGGACAATTGTTTTGGGTAATTTGTTTCGTTTCTCTCTGGCTGACCAAATGGTGGCCCTTGCCTGGCCCTGGGGGCCTGGCTTGTAGGAGGGCCCCTGCCTGGCCCTGGGGGACTGGCTTGTAGGAGGGCCCCTGCCTGGCCCTGGGGGACTGGCTTGTAGGAGGGCCCCTGCCTGGCCCTGGGGAACTGGCTTGTAGGAGGCCCTTGCATGGCCCTGGGGTACTGGCTTGTAGGAGGGCCCCTGCCTGGCCCTGGGGGCCTGGCTTGTAGGAGGCCCTTGCCTGGCCCTGGGGAACTGGCTTGTAGGAGGCCCTTGCCTGGCCCTGGGGGACTGGCTTGTAGGAGGGCCCCTGCCTGGCCCTGGGGGCCTGGCTTGTAGGAGGCCCTTGCCTGGCCCTGGGGAACTGGCTTGTAGGAGGCCCTTGCCTGGCCCTGGGGGACTGGCTTGTAGGAGGGCCCCTGCCTGGCCCTGGGGGCCTGGCTTGTAGGAGGCCCTTGCCTGGCCCTGGGGAACTGGCTTGTAGGAGGCCCTTGCCTGGCCCTGGGGGACTGGCTTGTAGGAGGGCCCCTGCCTGGCCCTGGGGGACTGGCTTGTAGGAGGGCCCCTGCCTGGCCCTGAGGGCCTGGCTTGTAGGAGGCCCTTGCCTGGCCCTGGGGAACTGGCTTGTAGGAGGCCCTTGCCTGGCCCTGGGGGACTGGCTTGTAGGAGGGCCCCTGCCTGGCCCTGGGGGACTGGCTTGTAGGAGGGCCCCTGCCTGGCCCTGGGGGCCTGGCTTGTAGGAGGCCCTTGCCTGGCCCTGGGGAACTGGCTTGTAGGAGGCCCTTGCCTGGCCCTGGGGGACTGGCTTGTAGGAGGGCCCCTGCCTGGCCCTGGGGGACTGGCTTGTAGGAGGGCCCCTGCCTGGCCCTGGGGACTGGCTTGTAGGAGGGCCCCTGCCTGGCCCTGGGGACTGGCTTGTAGGAGGGCCCCTGCCTGGCCCTGGGGGCCTGGCTTGTAGGAGGGCCCTTGCCTGGCCCTGGGGACTGGCTTGTAGGAGGCCCTTGCCTGGCCCTGGGGACTGGCTTGTAGGAGGCCCTTGCCTGGCCCTGGGGAACTGGCTTGTAGGAGGCCCTTGCCTGGCCCTGGGGGACTGGCTTGTAGGAGGCCCTTGCCTGGCCCTGGGGAACTGGCTTGTAGGAGGCCCTTGCCTGGCCCTGGGGAGCTGGCTTGTAGGAGGCCCTTGCCTGGCCCTGGGGGACTGGCTTGTAGGAGGCCCTTGCCTGGCCCTGGGGGCCTGGCTTGTAGGAGGCCCTTGCCTGGCCCTGGGGAACTGGCTTGTAGGAGGCCCTTGCTTGGCCCTGGGGGACTGGCTTGTAGGAGGCTCTTGCCTGGCCCTGGGGGACTGGCTTGTAGGAGGGCCCCTGCCTGGCCCTGGGGACTGGCTTGTAGGAGGGCCCCTGCCTGGCCCTGGGGACTGGCTTGTAGGAGGGCCCCTGCCTGGCCCTGGGGACTGGCTTGTAGGAGGGCCCCTGCCTGGCCCTGGGGACTGGCTTGTAGGAGGCTGATTGAGGTGCACACTTTGCCTGCCACACGAGGATGTTGCTGGGTCTTGGAACACACTGTTCTTGTGTTAACTTCAGTTGTTGCAATATTGGTGGTTGCCTGCAATGGCTCGTTGCCTGATTCGTGTAATGGTTGCCTGAACTGCCAGATGCTCAATTATCTTCCCCGATAAGTCGGTAAATGAAATGAACATAAATTATGTACGTATGCTGGTTGATGTGAGACGAGCACGCCGCCTTAGTGACTGACAGGTAGATAAGTACTGTCGTACAGGTGCTTGTAGCGGCGTGTGCGCGCGCTGCTTGTATTTTGTCCACTAAGTAACATAGGCACTACGGGCTCACCATAGCCCGTGTTACTTGGAACTTTTTGTTCTAGGTAGCGGATCTTTAACAACACTAAGTAACGACTCTCTTTTTCAACACCAGCACATCCCATACCTCCTGGAATAACACTTTCTGTGTTGACTTAACGTTAAGGTTCTCTCCTCCGCTTGTCTCACACTCCCGTCTTTCTCGTCCCCTTCCTTCTTCCTCTCATTTATTTCATCCTTGTGTGTTCATTTATTTCCTTAGATGGAAACTTTAAACTCTTCCACTTGGTTTTTATTCCCCTGAATTCTCGTTTAAGTAATCCTTATCTATTATATCCTTATCTCCTCGACCCCCACCTCCTCCCACTATCCCCTCGCTACTAAGCATTACACATCACTGCCTAATGCATTCCGTCTGCTAACTTCTGATACTGAAAAAAGTTCTTTCTAACGTCCCTGTGGCTCATTTGGGTACCAAGTTTCCACCTGTGTCCCCTTCTTCGCGTACCCCCGTGTTAACCAGTTTATCATTATCTACCTTATCAATTCCTCTGAGAATTTTGTGGATAGTGATCCTGTCTCCACGAGCTCTCCTGTCTTCCAGCGACGTGAGGTGCATTTCAGGCAGCCTTTTCTCGTAACTCATGCCTCTTAGTTCTGGGACTAGCCTAGTGGCATACCTCCTAACTTTTTCCAACTTCGTCTTGTACTTGACAAGATACGGGATCCATGCTGGGACCGCATACTCCAGGGTTGGCCTTACATAAGTGATATACAAGGTTCTGAAGGATTCCTTACACAGTTTCCTGAATGGAGGTCACGATGTTAGCCAGCCTTGCATACACCGATGATGTTAGCCAGCCTTGCATACACCGATGATGATGTTAGCCAGCCTTGCATACACCGATGATATTCTTTTGATGTGAGCTTCAGGAGACAGGTTTGGCGTGATTTCAACATCTAGATCTCTCTCCCCCCGTTTCATGAAGGACTTCATCATTCATTCGGTATCCTGTGTCTGGCCTCTTGTTTCAACTGCCTAGTTCCTTTACCTTACATTTACTTGGGTTGAACTTTAGTAGCCATTTGTTGGACCATTCAATTTGTCTAAGGTGTCTTGTAGCCTCATACTATCTTCCTCTGTCTTAATCCTCCTCATAACTTTTGTATCATCAGCAAACAATGAGAGGAACGAGTCTATTACACACACACACACACACACACACACACACACACACACACACACACACACACACACACACACAGGACATGATTTTGTAGGACATGATCACAACCTACAAAATCCTCAGGGGAATCGACCGGGTAAACAAGGACGAACTTTTCAACACTGGTGGGACGCGAACAAGGGGACACAGGTGGAAGCTGAGTACCCAAATGAGCCACAGAGACGTTAGAAAGAACTTTTTCAGTGTCAGAGTAGTTAGGAAATGGAATGCATTAGGAAGTGATGTGGTGGAGGCTGACTCCATTCACAGTTTCAAATGTAGATATGATAGAGCCCAATAGGCTCAGGAATCTGTACACCAGTTGATTGACGGTTGAGAGGCGGGACCAAAGAGCCAGAGCTCAACCCCCGCAAGCACAATTAGGTAAGTACAATTAGGTAAGTACACACACACGTGTGTGCTTCTCAACTGTCAATCAACTGGTGTACAGATTCCTGAGCCTACTGGGCTCTTATCATATCTGCATTTGAAACTGTGTATGGAGTCGGCCTGTGTGTGTGTGTGTGTGTGTGTATGTGTGTGTGTGTATGTGTGTGTGTGTGTGTGTGTGTGTGTGTGTGTGTGTGTGTGTGTGTGTGTGTGTGTGTGTGTGTGTGTGTGTGTGGTTTAGATAACCTTTGGGTTAAACTCTCTGGCACACGACTGTGCAACCTCCTCACCCCAACCCACTTTCTGTGGTTGAGTGCTCAATAATTCACTACTGTCCACGGAGGACACATCTCTAACCCTGTCCCTGGAGAACAGAAAAAGGTGTATAGCCTGCTTAAGATTGTATTAATCAATTTCCACGTCTGTGGTAGACAAAAACAACTCCCGTCCCCCCCCTCTGGTCAATGCCAGTAACAGTGTGGCTCAGGTCAAGTATATCACAGGTTAAAGTCAGTCAGTGATTTTAGCTCAAAAGGGAGATGATATCACGTTCCTTGATCAATAATACTAACATTGGAACAAGGATAACTGTTAATATAACAAACTCCTCGTAAATAGCCCCATTAATATGGGGCTATTAATATTAATATGCCCCCGAGCAGCCCGTCCTCCCGAATAATACATTGTATCTTGACGTCAAAATCCCCAACGACGGGGAAAAAAATATTATGTATCAAATCAGAGCGGCTCACAAAATTGACAGGCCGTCCCGTTTTCTATTCGTGGGTCCTAAGTTAGGTTAAATTCGGGCAATTTAGCACATTATTTTTGTGTCGTTGTGGCGACTCTAGAGGGCGCGCTCCACTAAACTAGATTGGAACAATCACTATGTATATTGTCATTCAGTACATGAATTACATAAAGTATCGTAAAATAACAGTGAATAGAGTAAACTGTATTTTGCAGAGAAATATGAACAAATCAGACAAGGATCGTCAGAATAATCACATGTAATTTCACAATACAAATTAAGGAATAATTACTTTGTTCTGTTAGTCTGTGTGTGAACAAAGGATAAGTGCAGTCATGGCGTTGTAAAATAACTGGAGAATTACAATAATCATAATAGTGAGAATACAGGCAAACTCTGGCAAGAAACATGCACAAATCTACCCTTATAAATACTAGGATTCAAGCAAGAAAACTCTAATTTCTGGTAAGATGTAGCCTGGCTAACACACACTGCCTTCGCATTAACACGGAGCGGTCAGTCTGAAAATAAAGGCAATAATCCAACTTACTGATCAAACTCCACCCAGAGGGGATCAGACTGCAGCTTAGACTGTGTTGGTGCTCACCCGTCACGGGGGGTCCACCCGGAAATTTCCAATGCACTGTTGCTTGGTACCAAGAAGAGTGTGCTCTTTATGGATTTTTCCTTGGGATTGGAGAATTTTTTTTTTTCAGTGCAAGAACAGAGGTGTCCCAGACAACAATTTCTGACACGTATGTTGGCTGTAGAACACTTTTGTTGTGCTCATCCACGACGACTTGAAAATGTTCCAAAGTTTGATAGTTCCTGTTACTATATGAGTCTTTTTGTCTTCCTCTTTATGTTGGGGGCAATACATCAACACGAGGGGGGGGGGTAGTATTGATGCAGAACAACATATTCACCGAGCTTCACACATCAGGATTTTTTTTTCTAAAAGTAGCCCAAGGCTCCCGCTTGAACTTCCCTGCCAGAGTGAATCAATCCAGACTCCAAGTGGTTGTACCTGCAGCTCCTCTAATTAGTGCCGACACCTTATGTCTGATAACGCACTCAATAAGAATGTCTTGTGATCGTACGCTCCTGACTGGCTAAGATGGTGGTGTCACCATCAAAACTTTAAGGTTTGCAGATCCACAAATTTTTCCCTAGGCATGAACAAGAAAAAAGGTTAATATATTTGCAGTAAAAATACCCTTGAATAACCTAATGCAAACGTGACTTATGTCATTGATGTTTACGACGGGGGTGTGACTGGCAGGCGGGGGGGGGGGGAGATATGCACTAAGGAGTTAGTGACAGTGTAACGCACCCCCCCCCCCCTCCCCATTCACCGTCACCCTTCATCACCCCTCACCACATCTCATCCCCCCCCCCCCCTCATCACCCTTCGTTAACCCTCTTCACTGCTGGCAATCCCTCATCACTTAGCCCTGCCCTCATCATGATTTCCGCACATATCTCACCCTGCCCCGCCCTCATCTCCCCCCACGTCACCCCTAACCCCAACTCACATCACCCCCCACTCTCCCCCCCCCTACTGGCAACTTCCCAAACTTCTCTCTCTTCTTCAGGCAACCTCTCGTTTCATTTTCTTAGAATTGTAAGAACAAAAAGGTCGACTTCCTTAAGATATTCACGGGGCCGGGATGAAAGGCCTCGGGTAATTAGTGTGCTCTCTCAAGAAGGCCCCGCAAAATGAAGCGTTTTGTTCTAGATAGTGCTAAGCCACGGCCGTGCGTAAGGTCGGCCCAACTGGCCGCATAACGGGAGGCGATTGACCCAAGGTGCCGGAGAGAATGGCACTGAACTCGCCTCACTTTCCTTAAGAAGGTCCCGGGGCATCAGGATACTAAACAACAGATGCTCTTAAAGTCGTCTTTCCCGGGTTAAACTTAGAGGGGTTTAAGTCTAGTGGTTGATTTTGTGGTGGTCGGGTGTTGCAGGTGGGCCCCGGCACGCTCACGGGTTTCACAGGTTTTGGCGTGTTTTCTGACCCGAGCCGGAGAGCAGGTGTAGTGGCCACCCCCCCCCACCCCCCACACCCTAACGCCCTCTACACCCACACTGGGGGCCACTCCTCCAGCTGGGGCCCCCTGTGGTGGCCCCTGTGGTGGCCCTCTGCTCCATCATCACCCGCGAAGTCCATGTATTATCCAAAAGGAAAATCTTCCGAAAGCAAACAAGGGTATCAGCTGGTCCTGGGAACAGTGTAGCCACGTTTGTGTTCCGTTCTGTCTCGCTGTCTCCCGGTTACCACTGACGGAACCGGGAACTGCCGAGTAATTCTTTCGCTTATGTAAACGAAGGCTGCCGTTACTCGTGCCCACGAGGTAACGATTTTCGCTGGACCTGATGGCCCGAGGTTTGTGGCTGAGGTCCTGTGAAGACGCCGAGGCGCCTCCACCTTGGCAACGCTGTGCTAGGCCAGGTAA